TTCAATCCGACATTCAAATTAAAATATTGAATAATATTCATAACAGAAGCGGTGTTTCCCACAGACTTGCACTATATTTGTGGCGGCATATATATGCAAACTCATTCTCTGCCAGCAGGAGGCGCTTGTAAAGCGGGAGAGATAGAGGTTTCCCCAGTAACGGCTGTAATCAAATAAGCGCTCAGCTCACAAACACTGCTCAGGCATTACATGCAAGATGAAATGAAAATTACATCCATCATTTTCTGAAGACAGTCAGTTTCCTTCAGAAATACAGTGATATAAAAACACCTGCACCGGGTTTCAACTTTGACACGTGCAATGCTCATGTTTATTCAACGAAGTCAAAGCCTTTTGGAAAATCTATTTGTGGTGGTGAGTTTTGATATTGTGGCGGGCCGCCACAAATAAATCAATGTATAGGAAACGCAAGATCTAAATATTAAAAAGTTTCAATTTCATGATTTGATCTGGGTGTCTTTAAAGTGTTTTGTTAGTTTGGTGTGTTTCCTCCTTTTGATTTCGCCAGGTCTCAGTGCTTTTATGAAGACAGCGCATCTGTGCACCTTTCTGATAGTGCATCAAGAACCGGGTTGACCGGGTACTCGGTACCACCGGTACATAAAATAACCTGGTACCGTAACGTTTTAATTTTTTTAGTACTGACTTGGTACCGAAATACCGGGTCTTTTGACAACACTAGTACAGATGTGAATTTACTTTTCCTTCAGCCTGAGGTTTATTCATTACACTTTTTGGTGTGAAAGAGCTTTTACATTTGCTATAAATAGAACTTCTTATATTAAAAACAATCAAGCCCTGCTCATATTTAAAAAGTAACGTGAAAGTAAAGCAAAAGTAAAAACATAATTAGTTACTTTTTTAGGGAGTAACGCAATATTGTAATTAGGGATGTCAATTTTCGATCATTTCCATGATCACGACTTAATCGACCATGATAGCTTTAATCGATTGCATCTCTTATCGACAATTAATCGATAATCGATTAATCGTTGACATCCCTAATTGTAATGCATTACTTTTAAAAGTACAGTAGCTTTCCCCAACACTGATTAGCATGCTAACATATTGGCTGTTTATTAATACTTTATAAAGCTCATATTCTGCATGACCATATTCTACATCCAAAATTAGGAGTTTATTGAGGTAAAAGTTGTAGTTAATGGTTGTTAATAGAAATAATTGGACCTTAAAATAAAGTGTGACCAATAAATATGACTACACAGTCTACTGCAGTCATTAGATCAACACATGTTAAACACCATGACTCATCTCAAACTCTAAATCCTCTTGATTTTGACCCGAGAAGTGCAAGGCTTAGGTGGTAATTACCCACAATGCCTTGCCAGTAACAGCCCCCCAGCTGTTCAAAGACTGAAATAACAACATTTGCTGCCGTGAGTTTAGAACTTCCTGTTACCATGACAACCATGGAACAATTCATATTCCGTGTGTCTCTCCTCTAATAAAGTGTGTAACATTAGGGCGTAATTGTATTTCTGCGCAATATATGAAAAAGCCCTTTGCAGCGAGAAACGCCTGATAGCAGTCATCAAAAACGTCTGCAAGAATGACAGTCTCCTTATCTTTATCAGAAAATTGTGACTTGGCATAACAAAATTATTAAAATTTGATAAAATAGTAACTTTTGAATATGGATGGCAAGCACAACTAAGCCCATTGCCAAAAACAGTGCATATAAAGATTCAAGATTCAAGATTCAAAAAACGTTATTATCTATCAACCAGTGATAGAAATGTGTCTTAGGTCAAATGCTCACATATACACAATACAAAAAAACAAAAAAAAACAAACCACAATTAATCCACAAAAACACCTCTAAAATTTTAATAACAACTGTCAGGACGATACACTGCTGTTAAGATGCCCTGTCTTACATTGAAGCCTTTTATCTTTCTCAAAAGTGATAATCGCTGTTGAGCTTTCTTATAGACACTATTTGCCTGCAGTGTAAAAGATAGATGCTTATCAATCTCAGTGCCCAAAAATTAAAAGGCTCTAAAATTTTAATAACAACTGTCAGGACGATACACTGCTGTTAAGATGCCCTGTCTTACATTGAAGCCTTTTATCTTTCTCAAAAGTGATAATCGCTGTTGAGCTTTCTTATAGACACTATTTGCCTGCTGTGTGAAAGATAGATGTTTATCAATCTCAGTGCCCAAATATGTAAAGGTCTCAACCTGCTCCACTACCTGCCTCCCCCCCCCCCCCCCAGCTTAAGTGGTTCAGATAAAGGATGATCAGTGTTAAATGAACGAAACCTACCACAACACAACTCTTTAGTCTTACTTATATTTAACTGCAACAAACTCTCTAGGAACTGGAGGACCATCGAATCAACAAATTGCCTATAAGTAACCACGGATTGCTCATCACTCATACAAGCCACCAAGGCCATGTCATCAGCATATTTCAAAAGTGACCATTGATATCACACCTGATTTCGTTAAAATATACAGAAAATAAAATAGGCGATAACACACAGCCCTGTGGAACCCCTGAATTCACAATAATACTGTTAGATTTAAAACCACACAGCCTGACATGTTGAGTTCTATCTTTTGAAAACTATCAATAGCATTAAAAGGCATCATGGTGGAAAGTCTCTTTAAGATCACTTATAGTAACTTATGGAACTGTGGCAGGACCAAGGAGGTTGAGTGGAATGAAAGCAGAATTCCTGGGAATTAGAAGGGATTTA